GGGGGCAGCCAGCCTGAAACACCCTCCTGGGCCCATGGCTCTGACCCCACCCGGTCCTGCGGGCCCACCGCCCCCTCCTCGGCCTTGCACCCCGCGCTCTCCTGGCCCGGCAGGCGGCTCTTTCTGCGCCCCCCCCCCCCCCCCAGCCCCGAGGCCCTGCAGCGTCCTGGCTGCCCCCCGGGGTCTCTACCCCAGCTGCCCACACAGTGGGCCCTCTGGTTGCTTCTGTCCTCTTGAGGCTTCTTCCTTTAAAGAATGAGAAAGCGGGAGCCATGTCTCCCTGGGGGGATGTAGCATGCGTGCCCCTCCCAGGCCTGGCCCTGGAGCCTCGGGAATGAAGCCAGCCTCCCGGCCTCCACCCCCCGGGCAGATACGAGGCTGGTCAGGAAAGGACGTGCTCCCGAGCAGCCCCGCCGACCGACCCGCACGGGAAGGGTGCTCTGTGACATGAAAGAGTCGTCCTGGTAAAGGCGCTGGTTCTCACAGAGACGGGACTGGATGCTCTGCACCAGCAAGAAGTGGGTCCTGCGGTGCCCCTCACACGGCCCGGGGGTCAGAGAGGGCACCGAGGCTGCGCGCCGACGAGCTGGTCCGTCCGTGCTGGCACGGCTCTGTCTGTGGGTGGGCTGCGCCCCCTGCGCCGGGCTGGGCGAGAGCTGGCCTGTGTCCCCGGGGGTGGCCGCGCCCGAGGTAGTCCTCACGATCTGGGAGGCGGGGGACGCTGCTCGGAGGATGAGATGAGGTGAAACTCGTAAATGTCCGTACACGTTAACTGTGGCTGTTCATGATGGTGTGTTTTATCCTGACAAAACACTTAAGAGGAGCAATTACAGATTGTAAGCAGGAGCTGAGATGATAAAAACACGTCTCATGGCAGTGAGTAATGGAGCCAGGATGTGAGCCTCACTCTGGGCATCACGGAAGCCTTCCTGGAGGAGGTGACCTTGGTGAACACAGGCCGTGGAAGCGACACTAACAGCTTCATAGTAGGAATAATAAAGCCAGCGTCCATGGGCCAAGCCGTGCCCAGCACCGGACCAAGAACGTGCATTACCTCATTTAATCTCTGACCGCCCTGTGAAGGTGGTAGGTAGCAGCACCCCCGTAATCCCGACCAGGAGGTGCGGAGAAGTCAGTGACGCGTCCAGGTCTCTCAGCAGTGAAGGGCTGGGGCCTGGAGCCGGGCCCGAGGCCTGGCCCCAGGCTCTGCGCAGAGAGGGCAGCTGGCATTTGTGGGCAGAGGCCGGGTCACAGGGTGGGGGCGGCCTCAGCCGGAAGGGAGAGCCCCTGAGGCAGCCCCCGGGAGCTGGCCAGCCCGCCATGGGACTGTCCTACATCTTTTCCCTTTGGTGACCTCAAGGGCCCAGTGCAGCGTCTCAGAGATGCGTTTTCTTTCTTTTTCAAATGACTCCAGGAATCAGCATACCGAACTCTCCTCACCTTGTTCTGAAGATGGGAGTCTTTTCTTTTAAGTTCGTGTATAGGAAAACAAGCCTCCAGACTTTGGGCTGCTTCCGGGGCTGTTACCGCGCGCTGCGGTGGGAGGGCCCCTTCGGCTACAGCTGTGTGCCTTGCTCGTTTCACTCGTACTTGAACTTTCCCTTCAAGTCTCTTTCCCCGAAACTTAGCTGCTCATTGCCCGCCCAGCAGTCCCGTCTATCTGTCCATCCACCCATCTGGATGAAGCAAAAAAACTTGGACCTCGAACACACAAGGGACAGGACCTCCCCACTGCCCATGCCCACCCCCTGCCGTCACGGGACGCTGTGGGGCGTGGACGGGACCGTCCCCCCTGGTGTGACCCGCTGACCCATGGGGACCGGAGACGCGTGAGATGAGAGGAGTGGGGTGCCAGGCCAGCGGCCGGCGTGAACCGTCCTTGTCGGGCTGTGTCCGTCACCGCTTCCTGGAACCTGTGTGTCCTCCCTGGACTCTTAGGGTCAGAGCTGGGCCGTCCCCTTCTGTCACGGCCCGCAGTCTCAGAGCCCATGAAGTCAGGCTCCTGGGGCTTTCCCAGGCCTTTCTCACCGGCGCCAAGCTGACGTGGCAGTCCCCGGGGTCGATTCTCAGCAGTCACTGCCCGGCGCCTCCCCGAGTAGCGGCCTCCCCCTAGGCATTGGCTAAGGTGGTCGGCGATGTGGGGTCCTGGGGACCTGGGTACAGGACACCAGCCCCACTGATGTGGCTTCATGAATGGCCACCACCCAGGTCTCTCTGGAGCCAGAAACCCCTTGTGTTAACGGAAGAAGAGCTGGCTCACCAAGGTGTCGGTGCAGGGCCCACGGCCATACAGCCCCTTGCCTGGCAGGGCTGGAGAAACCCAGCCTGTGTGTCTGGAGACAGCCTGGCTTCTTATCCCAGGCCGTCCGCCTCCACTGGGGTGGAGGCCCCAGGAGTGCGGATGTTCATGGAGCAAGATGCAGAATGGTGGGCAACCTGCCTGTGAGCCCTGAGTAACCGCCCTGTGTGCTGCCTGGGGGGCGGGGACTGCCTCCCGGAACAGAGGTCCTCTCTTTTAAGGATGCTGTATTTTATAGGTATATGTATACATATATGTGTGTGTATGTGTGTGTGTGTGTGTGTTTGTGTGTGTATATATATATTTGATACAAGGAGATCCAGCCAGTCAATCCTAAAAGACATCAGTCCTGAATATTCATTGGAAGGACTGATGCTGAAGCTGAAGCTCCAATATTTTGGCCAACTGATGTGAACAACTGACTCACTGGGAAAGACCCTGATGCTGGGAAAGACTGAAGGCAGAAGAAGGGGACGACAGGATGAGATGTTTGGATGGCATCACTGACTCAATGGACATGAGTTTGAGCAAGCTCCAGGTGATGGACAGGGAAGCCTGGCGTGCTGCAGTGCATGGGGTCACAGAGTCGGACACGGCTGAGCAACTGAACTAATTTTTTATGAAAATCTTAGACCTTTTAAACAGAGAATTGAGGCAAAATTTAACTTTAAAAAGGTTCCTTTTAGTTTCACTGATAAAAACTAGTGCACAGAACCTCCACCTCCCTTCCCCAACATGAGCGGCTTGCATCTCCTGGGGCAGGAAGTTCAGTGTTGGCCCAGAAACTAACCCCCGAGCGGACCGCTGTGAGGCAGCTGCCCCGGGCGCACACCTCTCCTGTCTCTGGGGCACGCTGGAGTGCTGGCGCGGGTATGCGGGGCGCCTGTGGTGGGGGCCAGCTGCTGCGTCCCTGGCGAGGTCGGTCCTGCGTCCTGGCCCCCCAGTGGTCCCCAGCGGCCCGGGTGCCCCCTCCTGCTTCTCTCATGCTCAGGACTGCCCTTCATTTTCAGAACGGCAGTACCTGCGTCCAGCGGAAAGCGCCCGGTCCTCGGAAGGCAGACGGCGGAGGGCTTCCCTCCCAGCACCCCCAGCCACCCTGCTCCGTGCCCTGGGCACCGGGCTGCGGTCCCGGGCCCTTAGTGTCTGACAGCGCAGGCGGGCCGCGCCGCCCGCACCTCCTGGCTCCTCACGTGCGGGGCCTCAGGGCCCGGCAGCCTTGCCGGAGAATGGCCGCACAGCCCTTGCCTGCTCCATCCTCATGGCAGGAGCTGACAGAGAGGCCCCCGGACAGGTCACAGGGACACCTTGTTTCGCTCAGACGCCGGATCTCTGCTCAACCTCTCGCCGCGCCCTCGGGCTGAGTCTCCCCCTCGCCGAGCACCCGAGGGGCACCGGGGGCAGGCTGCTGGGGCGCCAGGGGGCAGTGGCCTCTCCGAGGGCAGAGCTTTCCCGCAGGGCCGCACTGGACAAGGCCTGGGGCCCCCGCGCTGAGCCACGCCGCGCGGGGGGGGCCCCTGGCGAGGGTCAGATGCGGCTCCCACACCCCCGGCCGCCCGCCTGGCACGGGCAGCACAGCTCAGGCCGGTGGCGCCCCGGCCCCGGCTCCCTGGCGAGCACAGCCTTTCCTGCTGGAAGGACGTGTGTCCCGGAGGCTCCTTGGAACCAGCTGGGGTGGGCTGAGCTGCGAGAGAGTGTTACTGACCCAGGGGCTTCCTGACACCTTCCTCCCCTCTGTGCCCGGTTGGTCGGCAGGGTCAGCCCCCCAGGGGACCGGCTGGTTTCCTGGGCTCCCGTTCTGCCTGTGGGGGTGCAGGGACCATCCCAATCGTGGGGGGCAGGGGGGGGCGCGCGCTGAGTGTCTCTGGGCAGAGCCAGGGGAGTGAGGCCGGCGGGGCGCGGAGTGGCTGCTGGGAGCGAGTGCACACTGCAGGCGGCTGCTTTCTCAAGTGGCTTTAGTGGTTCCCTTTAAGGAAGAGGCCTCTTGGCAGAAGGAAAAGATTGAGGGACTTGTACAATTTCCTCCCATTAATAACCCTGTGCGCGCAGGGCGGGTCCCTTCTGGAGGCGTGACCCCTGCCTGCAGCCCGGGCCGGTCTCCACTGCTTGCTGGACCCCAGCGGCCCACAGAAGCGGTGGCCCGATTCCCGGGTCACCTGACCGCCAGCTGGGGAAGGGACACACTGGCCCGGGGCCGGGGCGTCAGAGACGGAGCCTGGCGCTTTGCGTTGGGACGCAGGTGGCACAGTGAGCCAGCCTCCCTCCCTAGTCGGGAGGCCCCGGGCCGCATCTATTCTCCTAGTTCGGAGTGGAGTGGTCACTGGGGCCAGCAGGGCCGCCCCCCACCCCACCCCCGGGCTATGGCTGCCCACCCAGGCCTGTCAGCCTCGCAGCCAGACTGCTTGGAGGCAGGACGGCCCCAGGCCGGGTGACCTCTGCTTGTCCTCTTAAGAGAACCAGGAGAAAAGGTGGGGTCTGGGATGTGGGTTTCAGCTCTGCCCTCCGAGCAGATCGGCGCCTTTCTGGGTTCCTGACTTTCTCCGGGGGTGGATTCTCCAAAGGTTATCCCTCCATCCAGGGGATCAGCCCAGCCAGAGTGGCTGTGGGGGACAGACATCACGGTGCCCGCAGGCTGCGGGGTGGAGGTGCCTAGGGAGCCCTGCGCCCAGCCTGTGCCTGACCCTCTGATCGCTTGTCTCTGCAGGAGGACATGGCAGCTCACGTTGGCGCTTCCCGGACCCCCCAGGAAGTGATGGAGCATTACGTAAGCATGTACATCCACGGAAACCTGGGGAAGGCCTGCATCCCCGACACCATCCCCAACCGGGTGACCGACCACACCTGCCCCAGTGGGGGCCCCCTCTCTCCTAGCCTCACCACCCCCTTGCCTCCCCTAGACATCTCGGTGGCCGAGCAGCAGCAGCTGGGCTACATGCCACTGCGGGACGACTACGAGATCGAGTACGACCAGGACGCCGAGACCCTCATCAGCGGGCTCTCGGTCAACTACGACGACGACGACGTGGAGATCGAGCTGAAGCGCGCGCACGTGGACATGTACGTGCGCAAGCTCCGCGAGCGGCAGCGGCGCAAGAACATCGCGCGTGACTACAACCTGGTGCCCGCCTTCCTGGGCAAGGACAAGAAGGAGAAGGAGCGGGCGGCGCGGCGCAAGGTCACCAAGGAAGAGAAGGAGCTGCGGCTGAAGCTGCGGCCGCTCTACCAGTTCATGTCCTGCAAGGAGTTCGACGACCTCTTCGAGAACATGCACAAGGAGAAGATGCTGCGCGCCAAGATCCGCGAGCTGCAGCGCTACCGCCGCAACGGCATCACCAAGATGGAGGAGTCGGCCGAGTACGAGGCGGCCCGGCACAAGCGCGAGAAGCGCAAGGAGAACAAGGCGGCGGCCGCGGCGGCCGCGGCGGCGGGGGGCGCCAAGCGCGGCAAGGAGGAGGCCCGGGACGGCGAGTTCGCGGCCATCGAGCACCTGCCGGGCTTTGAGCTCCTGTCGGACCGCGAGAAGGTGCTGTGCAGCTCGCTCAACCTGAGCCCCGCGCGCTACGTGACCGTGAAGACCATCATCATCAAGGACCACCTGCAGAAGCGCCAGGGCATCCCCTCCAAGAGCCGCCTGCCCAGCTACCTGGACAAAGTCCTCAAGAAGAGGATCCTGAACTTCCTCACCGAGAGCGGGTGGATATCCAGGGACGCCTCCTGAAGCCCGCCGCCCGGAGTGCCCGGGATGGACGGACGGATGGAGGACGGTTGCTGCGAGAGCCACACCGACAGCGAAGAGGGGGAAAAATAAAATCTTTGTGAGCCAAAACGAAACAGGGTGGGCAGGAGGGGGAGAGGAAACGCTTTTCCGTCCCACCCCCCACCCCGCATTGTTGCTCTTTTTTAAAAAACAAATCCAGTTCTTTTTTTAGGGTATCAATTCTTTTTACTGTCCTCTGAAGAAGCAATAGCAACAGTTGGATCAAGGGGAAGACAAAATCCGTGTATATTTTACCTGAATCCCTAAATGTAGTACTTTAAGATGAGGATTTGCCTTTGAGTGTTCAGTGTGGATACATGATGATGAGATTGGGAAATTTACTTTTTTTGTTGCTTCCCAGTGGTACAGGACTGTGAGATGGGCGGAGGGGAGCCCTTCCCTGCTGGCCGCTGGTTCACCCCCGTGACCTGAGCTCTGCGCGGCTGCCCTCAGTGGCGGGCAGGTGGCACTTTAGGCGGAGGGTGCGGGCCGGGCAGAAGACGCTGGGGAAGGGCGGGACGGGCATCCCTAGGGACTGGCCTGGAGGAATCTGGTGGTGAACGGTTTGGCCAAACTGAGCTTCCTCACGACGGCTGGTGGTGGCACTTTGAGGGAGCTCACCACGGTGTCTGGGGGGGATGCGGGGCCTCCTCCCCTGGAGGTGCTGCTTGCTGCGCTTAGAACTTGGTCGTGTGTTTTACTTGGAAGAACTCATTTTAAGTGAAGCTCACTGAGAGTTGGGAGTTCTGGGTTTTGGCTCCTTCCAGGGTTCTCACCCCAGTGGCAAGCGCCTCCTTCTCTGAGACTGCCCCTGTGCCTTGTCTTGTGTGGTGTCAGGCGCTGGGCTAGGCGAGAGGGACCCCGGTGGCCTGGAGGCCTGGGTACTGCTTCTCGGGGCCGCCGCCTGGAGCCAGACTCTGGCGTGGCTCTGCCCAGCCGGGTTCAGAGAGGCTCTCGGGGGTGCCCTTCCGTGACAGGCACGGCGCCTTCTGCGGGAACCCGAGGAGTCGCGTGTCCTCCAGTTGCCCGGGGCGCTCGTGTCCAAGGCCCTGCTGTAGGGTCAGGGGAGTGGCCAGACCCCAGTGCTGCTCCGGTCATCCTGCGGCGCATCCCGCCTCTAACCCCTCGAAGCTGCCAGACTGTTTACCTCCCAGAATGCTTGGGCTTGAAGTTACACTGAAGTGAAGGGATTTGGGAAAGAAAAAAAAAAAAAACTCATCATTTCCAAGGACGGCTTAATTCTGGTGCCTTTTCCTTTCACGTCCTTCTGTCTGTCCCCTAGGGTGAACGTCCAGCATTAAGTACACACTCCAAGTATACTGGGGGCTTCCCTGGCGACTCCAATGGTAAAGAACCAGCTGCAATGCAGGAGACCTGGGTTCAGTCCCTGGGTCGGGAAGGTCTGGAGAAGGGAATGGCAACCCATTCCAGTATTCTTGCCTTGGAGAACCCCCACGGACAGTGGAGCCTTGGCGGGCCACCGTCCACGGAGTTGCAGAGTCGGGCGCGACTGAGTGCCTGATGCTCAAACGTGTCATCCGTGGCTATAGGGGTAAACCGCGTCGCATGCTGGCAGGGCAGCACTCCCCGAGACCTGACCACAAACCCGGGACCTCTCTGACCATTAAAGCAGCGGGCAGTGGCGTCACTCTTGAGTGCTGTCACCCGCAGGGTAACCACCGCTGATGAGCGTGTGGACACGGTCTGTGCTGAGCAGAGGCGGAGATGGTGCTACGTCCCTCCAGGGGTTCTCAGCCAGGGTTCCTGGAGCAACAGCGTGGCGCCCCCCGGGGAATCCGCTAGTGCTTCAGGGACTTGGGCCCCCCCAGGCCTCGGACACGCGGGGCGGGGCCTCGCAGGTCAGTGGGACACGGGCTGAAGTCTGAGAACTGTGGGCTTTAGCCACTTCAGTGTGACTGATTTTCTACATCAGATTCCTAGTTTGGTGAGGTTTTAAATTTAAGTCTTATTTTTATACAAAATGATTGCCAGACTTTCACTAAGCTTGAGAAGCAAAAGCTCCCTGTAAAATGTGCGTGGCCCCGGCCCAGAGCTGTCAAATGAGAAGTTCTGTGCTTAAGCAGGTTTTCAGTGTGTGTGTCTTTTCTCGACGGTATGAAGAATTTATTTAGGCTTGACTGTTTTTAAACACCATAATGAATGTATAATTTATGTTAAAAGTGTGAACCCTTTGTTACAAGGGAAAAGTAATTTTATGATTGGTTGCCTCTTGTCCCATCAACTCCAGCTATTACTGTTGCATTAGTCCCGCCCCTGCTGTTTGCTCGGAGCCTTTAAATTTCTGTATTTAATTCTTATGATAAATGAGTCACCATGATCCCATGGAATTAGGTCTTTTCAAAACGAAAACTCTCGAGTCAGAAGATAATCAGCTGTTCAGAACGATGCTCTGGATGGCCAGCATTCCGAGAATGTATTCAGACCGAAACTCTGCCTACCACCTTTTCCCCTTTTACACATTAAACAGGTTGAGAAGCAAACAGTGTCGCCGCTTGCTCTTTACTGCCCGCCCCTGGACCCACAGCCTTTCAGTCTGGTAGCTGGTGTGAGCCAGTCCTCAGAATCAGGATGGGGACCAGCCTGATACATCTTACTGTGGCTTTTGGTCATCGCACCTGTTCTCCCTCCAGACTGTTCAGCAGAAGAGCCCTTCAGGCCAGCGCTCCTTCCCAGAAAGGAACGAAACACCCAGAGCTTCCGTGGAGCCAGGCTGCGGAAGTCTACGGTGAGTGTACAGTGCCAGCTCCGTAACCTACATGGAGCAACGAATCCAGGCCACAGTTAGGGAAAAGCCAGGAACCCAACTCAAGTGCAGCCCACGGGCCTCTAACTGCGGCATCAGCATGGACACAGTTCATATTTCCCTGTTAGTGGTGACTGTGGGTGAGTGAAACAGGAAACAGTTCCCATTTAGGCCAGACCATCTCTGGGTTTAGCACCTTTTAGCAGCAACAGCTGAGAAGGGATGAGAGGGGACACTCACAGAAACTAGTGTGAGAATTACTCACACTCAGCATACAGATGCATCCAGAGAAGCAAAACCATGTGCCCACAGCCGCAGTGTAAAAGCAAGTGTGACTCCTGGCGTGGTTTCCTCAGGGCACCCTACCGCCTTTAGTTCTGGACTAGGCCTTTTTATATGTATATACATGTATGTATTTTAACATTTATTTGGCTGCCTCAGGCTGTAGCTGCAGCACGCCGGATGTTTCCTTGCAGAGCACGGATTCTCTAGTTGTGGCTTAGTTGCCCTGTGGCATGTGGGATCTCAGTTCCCCAACTAGGGATCACACCCGAGTCCCATGCATTGGGAGGTGGATTCTTAACCACTGGACCACCAGGGAAATCCCTGGGCTATGCTTTTGACCAAATAATTTAGAGCAACTTAAAAAGGGGAAATTTCTTTGCAATTTTAATGATGGGATTATTACCTATACCTTTGAAACTTGAGTGCCCCCATCTTTATGCAGTAAATAGATGTAACTGTGCTGATCTTCAGGCCCTGAGGTACCCCTCAGAAGCAAAGAGAGCGGATGGTTACTTTTTCTCTGGTACTTTTAACAGAACCTCAGTCATTCAGTTTTTCCCGTAACGTGAGGGAAGGAGGGTCCTAAGGCGAGCGTCACAGGGTCAGCGGTTGCCGGTCACATGTCCCTGATGGTGCTGCTCCTGAGCGTCCGTGGTCCTCATGGTCGGGGGCAGACCCAGGCCTGCCCCGAGCACCGACCGCCAGCACCAGCCAGGGGGAGCCCAGGAGGAAGCCACTCGCCCTTCCGGAACATGAGCCAACTCGTCTGGGCATCAGGCACACAGCTGCAGGGTCTGAGCAGAGACCCGGAGAGCTACGTCACACTGTCCTTCCGTGAGGATCTCCGCCATCAAAGCACACAGAACAGCTTCCAGAACGTAGGAAAATAACATCAGGGCTTTAATCCTCTTAAATAAAATGTAACATTTAAAATATACCAAGCACACAGTCTTCAGGTTTCTCTAGGAAAGTCCATCTTACTAGGGGAAACACCTTTAGGTCACTGGTCACTAGCTGGGTATAGATTTAAACATTTCCAGAGGCAAACGAAACAGGACAATGGTAACTGATTCCGTCACCTTCCGAAATGGGGCAAAATACAGAGGTGTGACTGTTTCGGCAGGCAAGTAGTTACTGATGATAAAGGAACTCAAATCACGTTTGTCACCAAGGGCCGCACACACCTCCCCCGGCAATCCCTTCCACTGCCTGAGTCAAACCAAGCATGCCGGGAGCGCACAGGCCAGTGAGACGCGTGGGACGCACAGCAGCTGGCTCGGCCAGCCAGCAGACGCGGTTCCTGAAGGCCTTTTATTTACTTGGAACACTCTGACGTCGCCAGAGTCTGAGCAGACACAGTGTTTTTTGTGATACCCCAGAGTCCAGTAGTGTCCCTTCAGCCTGTTCCGTAAGCACGTGGAACGTGTGTTAAAAATCAACAGACAGACAGACTCCCATATTCCAGTTTGTTAACGCAGCTGGGCAAGTGCCTGCCTTTTCTGTGGAGCCGCCGGTTACCAAAGCCTTGCAGCAAGGTTTAGGAAAAGGTCAAGAGTATTCATAGGTGAGAAAAGACAAACCCGCCCTGGAAGAGTCAGCGGGTGAGACAGAGCGCTGGGACCCGCGGGCCGCTAGGCCTCCTTCACCACCCCCACCAGGGCAGGTCTCAGGGTGCGCCCGTGCAGCTTGTAGCCCACTTTGTTAACCAGCGCCACCGTGCCCGGCTCCTTCCCCTCGACCGGCGTGTGGAACAGCGCCTCGTGCTCGTACGGGTCGAACCTGGCGCCCAGGGGGTTCAGCCGGAGCAGGCCGTGCTTGGTGAACACCTTCTGGATCTGGACTTCGGTCATCACGAGCCCCTCGTAGAGGTTCTTCAGGTGGGGGTTGTCGTCTCGAATCTCCTCCTTCGGGACGCACTGTGTGGCCTTCTCCAAGATGTCCGCCACCTCCAGCAAGTCCTTGCAGAAGCCCTGGATGCCTGCACCAGGTTAAGGGAGACCGTCACTGCATTTTCCATCAACTGCACGGGCCGCTCAAAACCACAAGCCCTCCTTTTGTGACGTGTGCGTGCTCAGAGTCGTGTCCTACTCTTGTGACCCCAGGGACTGCAGCCCACCAGGCGCCTCTGTCCGAGGGAGTCTCCAGACAAGAAGCCTGGAGGGGACTGCCACTCCCTTCTCCCCGGGATCTTCCCGACCCAGAGACTCAACCAGCGTCTCCTGCAGTGGCAGGTCGATTCCCTACCACTGAGCCACCTGGGGAGTCCTTCTGTCACACACCTGTTTTCAAACCAGGTCCTAGAATTTCAATGGGCTGGATTAAACAAAAAAACTTTTCCGAGGTTTAGACAAAAGCCAATGAGGTGTAAAGACAGGCACCTGAAAACCTGCAGAGCCAGACTGAAAACCCCCAGTCCTGCTCCAGACCGAAAGGACACACAGACTCCCGAACACCTCCCCGCCACAGACGGGGCCAGCAGGACGGGGCCAGCCCGCCACCTCAGCCACGCCCCCGGCTGTCACCAGACAGCCCTGTGACCGTGCTGAACCCCTCTGGGTTGAAGCTGCTCTGGTGATAGAACAGGGACAACAGTACCTGACACACAGCAAGCTTATGAGGACAGGAAGTCACTCACATCACAGCGCCTAGAACACTGTAAGTGCTCGATAAACATTAGCCATTACTTGGCACCATGAGGTCAAAGTTAGCAGGACACACCCCAAGCCTTAATCTAACAGAAGAAATAACAGTTAGAAAAATTTTATATAAATGCAAACAACTGTGGTTTCAAGACAACCCTTCAGATGCTGAATGCAGGAAGCTGGGGCTGAGGAGAGGCACCCCCTCCCCCGCAGCGCAGTAACCTCGAGTCTCCAGCACAACCGGCTCAAGTCTTCTCAAGTGTCAAAGGTTCTACGCTTTGAAGGAGGCAATGCTTGTTTACAGCTTCTCTTTTTTTTTACACAGTATTTTCACCCAGTTGCTGTAAAGTGAAATAAAAAAGTCTACCCATCCAATAAAAACGTGAGCATCTATTAAGGACTAACCCCTCGTTCGAGCTGCTGGGGAAACATCTGCCCACGTGGAGTGTTGGTCTGAGACACGCAGGGCACGATCGCCACAGCGAGACACAATTACCAATTATACTTCCAGGAAGGAGCCCTCCTGAGTGCTGAGGACCATTAACCGCAGGGACATGGCTTCTTGAGCCTGCGGTGCGGACTGAGAGTCGGCAGTGAGCCACGCATCCTGGGAGCCCAGGGCGCCCGTCCACCAAGACAATGTAAACCCAGAGGAGTTGACGGCTTCAGGGGGTGGTGGACTGGGCGGAGGGGAGCTGACGCCACTCTGCCAAGGGTGTGGAGCCAATGCGGGAGCTGAAGCTGGCCTGGGCAGAGTGCAACAGGCGGCAGAGGCGGGTGCGCGCAGGCCAGCCATCCCCACCCCCGGGGTAAGAGAGGAGCGGGCGTGGGGGGAGAGCGTAGTCTCAGATGACTGACCTGAACACCTGTGCGGGCAACGGTATCATTTACTCAAACGAGGAAGAAAAGCACAGAGGGGAGAATTCAGTTTAAAATACCTCTGAGACATCCAGGTAAAGACAGCCAGGACTAGAATGGAGAAGAAACGTCTGAACTGGCAGCTCACCTGTATGTGAACACCACTCAGCCCTGTCGGAGGGCAAGTCAGTGGGGGAGGTGATGAAAGGAGGGGAGGTCTTGAAGAACGTGGACATTTAGAGAGCAGCAGGCACGCAGCCAGGGCAGGGGATGACCAAAGAGAGGAAGGAAAACAGGAGCGGAGCTGACGGCACCTAGAGCAAAGCGTGTCTGCAGAAGGCGCATTGGTCAGAGGGCCCGTGGAGGGAGGGAGGGAGGGAGGGTGGGCCCGCCCCGGCAGCCTCCTGCGGAGCACGGCCTCTCGGAGCCCTGGGAGCCCACCAGCGCCGGCCGATCACCCCCACGCAGGCGCAGCTCTAAACCCAGGCCACTGCCCCCAGCTCTGCAAGCTCAGCGGCATCTGTGGGACATCCGAGGGGCCTGCTACTCGTGGCTGGGACGGTCCCGGCCTACTAAGGCCTGAATCTGTGCGCCTGGTGGGTGTGCCCAAGAAGGCAAGGCTGGGTCTGGGCTCCAGGAGGTCTGCATTGGGAGCTTTGGGAACACGGCAGTGGGGCACGCCAGGGCTGATTGCCTGCGTTCCCACGGTGGAGGTGGGGCTGAGGGCAACGTGACAACAGCATACTCTGTGAGCCCGGCCAACAGGAGGGCTTCCCTGGTGGCTCAGCAGTGAAGAACCCATCTGTCAAGGCAGGAGACGCAGGTTCGATCCCTGGGTCAGGAGGGTCCCCTGGAGGAGAGCATGGCAACCCACTCCAGTATTCCTGCCTGGGGAATCCCGTGGACAGAGGAGCCTGGTGGGCTGCAGTCAGTCCACGGGGCCGCGGAGTCGGACACGACAGCATGCACAACAGGTGGCAGCACGCACAACAGGTGGCAGCACGCAGCACGCTCCCCGGTGGACAGCTGCAGTGGAGGGGTGTTCAGTGGCTCCCCTCCTCGGGGAGCGCTCACTCCCACCCACCTCACTCTGCAGCTCAGAAACAGACCTGGGGGTGTCCACTCCGACCAGGAGGGAGCAGACCCTTCCCCTGACAGGGCTGTGACAACCATGGAACAGAGGGGAGGCCCTGCTCAACCAGTCACAGCCCCCCATCAGTGGGACAGTGGCCAGGACACCCAGCAGCACCTATACTATAAAAGCAGGTCTTTCTCCAAAAATGGTAGACCCACTCAGGCTACTACACAGGGAGGCTCCTGCACACACACACACACAAGCCCTCCAAGACCACAGTAGGTAACTGCTTCTCCTAACAACTAAGAAATCTGGAAGGCAGAATAATGGAAATCACCCAATCAGAACAGCAGACAAGAAAGCCAAATGAAAAAATATGAAAGCAACATAAGTGCGGGATAATTTAAAGTTTGCCAACATATAGGGATTCTAGTAGAAAAGAAAAACCGGGGCGGGGGGAATGAAAATGTATTTGAATACATCATGGCTGGGCACCTTCCTGGTGGTCCAGCGAGTTAAGACTATACCTTACAATGAAGCAGGTGCAGGTTCAACCCCTGATCAGGGAGCTAAAATCCCACCTCTTGAAGTGAAAAAACATAGAAACAATACTGTAACAAATTTAATGAAGACTTTAAAAATGGTCCACATTAAAAAAAATCAATTAAAATGGCAACAGTTAAAGAGAGGATTCTAAAGAGCAAAAAAAAGAGAGTTACTATAAGGGAGTTCCCATACGGATATCAGCCGATTTCTCCACAGAAACACTGCGGCCAGAAGGGAGCGGCAAGTATTCAAAGTCCTGGAAGGGGAAAGTCTGCGACCTGATACTCTACCCAGCAAGACTACCATTTAGAAGGAGACAAAGAACGTCTTAGACAAGCAAAAACTTTTTATACTTTGAATACAGCAATACTAAACCTATGCTAAAAGAAACATTGAAAAGTCTTCTCTAAGTAGAAAAGAAGAAGCTATAAGCAAGAGAAAACCCAACTGTAAAGTGAATCACTTAAAAGTCGGTACAGAGATTGAAAAAAAAAAAAAAATTCTGTGAAATCAATGACAACCACAATGAATAGCTGAAGGGTAAACACTAAAAATGTAAAAGACAACATCAAAATCATAAAGTACAGGGAAGGAGTAAAAAAAATGTTGACTTGTTTTTCCTAGAATATGTTTGAGCCTACATGACTACCAGTCTAAAGCAAACAGATATAGGAAGAGATTAACATACTTGAAAAACAGGGTAACCACAAATCAACAATGCCCAGATTTACAAAAGCCAAAAAGACAACAAGCACAATACAAAAACCAAACACACATCAAACTACAACACACCGTCTACCAGAGACCTACTGTAACCAAAGGACGCACACAGGTTGGAAGTTGAGGGGACAGAGAAAAAGATATTTCATGCAAAGGGAAATAAGAAAGTGGGGGGGGGGGTCGGTCACAATATTCATCAGACAAAACAGACATCAAAACAGAAGCTATAAACACAGATAAAGAAAAACACTACATGATATTAAAAAATCAATACAAGAAGATATTATATTCCTCAACATATATGTACTCAACACAAGAGCACCCAAAGTACATAAAACAAATGCTAACAGATGTAAAGTGAGAAACTTTATAGAAATACAACAGTAGGACTTTACTGCCCCACTCACATCAATGGACAGAGCTAGACAGAAAGTCAATAAGGCAACAGAAATCCAAAATGATAGAACAGTCAGACTTAACTGATATGCTCAAGATATTCCATCCAAAAAAACCAGAATACACGTTCAAGTGCACCCAGAGCCTTTTCTAGGACTGACCACATGCTGGGGCACAAAAACAAGCCTCAACAAATTTAACAGAACAGAAATTATTTCCAGCATCTCTTCTGACCACAACTGTATGAACCTAGATATCAACCCCCAGAAAAAGAAATGGAAAAAACAAAACCAAAAAACCCAACTACATGGAATTAAACAACATGCTACTAAAATATCAATGGGTCAACAATGAAATTAAAAATTACCTAGGGACAAATGACAATGAAACACAACCATACAAAGTCTACAGGATGCAGCAAAAGCAGTTTTTAGAGGGAAGTTCACAGTGATACAGGAGTTCTTTAAGAAACAAGAAAGATCTCAAAACAACCCAACCTACTACCTAAAAGAATTAGAAAAATAAGAACAAACAAAACCTGAAGTCAACAGAAGCGAGGAAATAAAGATCAGAGAGAAACTAGAGATTAAAAAACAAAAACAAAAATTGGTTCAGCAAGAAAAGGGAGAGGATCCAAATAAAGAAAATAAGAAATGAAAGAGAAATCACAACAGATACCACAGAAATAAAAATCATTAAGAGAATATTATGAACAATTAATTATATGCCAACAAACCTGACAACCTAGAAGACACAAACAAGTTCCTACAAAGATGCAGCCCACCAAAACTGAATCAAGAAGATACAGATAATCTGAACAAACTGATAACTAGACATGCAATAGATTCTGTAATTAAAAGAAATTTCCTACAAACGCAAGTCCAGGACCAGATGGCTTCACAGGTGAATTCTATCAAACATAGAAAGAACTTCTACCAACTCTTCTCAAACTCTCTGAAAAGAATGAAGAGGAAGGAACACTCCCAAAGACATTCTATGAAGCCACCATTACCCTGTTACAAAAATCAAAGAAAAGACACTACTGAAAAAAATAGTAAATTACAGGCCAATATCCTTGATGAATATAGATGCAAAAATTCTCAACAAAATATTAGCAAATGGAAATTAGCAACGCATAAAAAAGATCATACACCGTGACCAAGATGGATTCATCCCAGGATCATAATGATAGTTCAACATATCCAAATCAATCAATGAGATATACCACGTCAACAAAAAAAAGACAAAAACCACACAATCATCTCAACAAATGAAGAAAAACCGTATGATCCAACATCCATTCACAAGGATGCTCACTCTTACCACTTTAGTCAACATAGTACTGGAAGTCTCAGCCACAAGAAGAGGTAAAATTGTCAGTATATACAGATGACATGATACAATACATATTGAAAGCCCTGAGACTCCACACAAAAACTACTAGAATAAATGAATTCAGCAAGATATCAGGATATAAGATTAATATACAGAAATTGGCCAAATTTTTTTTACACTAACAATGAAATATCAGAAAGAGAATGTAAAGAGCAATATCCTTTAAAATCACATCAAGTAATAAAAAACTTAGGAATAAACCTGACAAGGAGGTGAAAGACTTATATGCTGAGAACTATAAGCCATGAGTGAAGGAAATTGAAAATGATTCAAAGAAATGGAAAGATATTCCATGCTCTTCTTGGAAGAATTAACATTGTTAAAATGGCCACAATGCCCAAAACAATCTACAGATCTAATATGGTCACGATCAAATTGACAGGGTTTCCCAGGTGGCTTGGTGGTAAAGAACCTGCCTGCCAATGCAGGAGACAGAGGAATCTTGGGTGCGATCCATCAGTTGGCAAGATTCTCTGGAGGAAATGGCAACCTACTCCAGTATTCTTTCCAAGATGCTCCCATGGACAGAGGGGCCTGGTGAGCTACGGTCCATGGGGTCACAGAGTTGGACACGACTGAGTGACTGAGCATGCACACTATCAAATTACCCGTGACATCTTCTACAGAAGATGAGCATGTGCAAACTATTATATACAGAATGCACAGGTCACCACTGTGTAGCATGGGGAACTACGGTTAATACCCTGTGACAGGGAATAATGGAAAAGGAAGTAAAAAGATGTGTAACTGAGTCACCTTGCTGTAGAGCAGGAATCAACACATTACACATCAACTGTACATTCAACAAAAGTGCAGAGAGGCTGTTCTCTGTGCTGAACGTGCAAGCACTCAAGCTCTGTCCTTGAGCAGAGGGTTTAACCTCTTGTTGGTTCTGCATCCAGAACGGGGAGCCTGAAAGCTGTGTCCCCTAAGTACTCAGGTGGTCTTCTGTGTGATCAGCACAACACATATGGGGTAGGGAGACGGGCCTTGGTGCCATGGCCATTTTAGTGGCAAATCATTTCAGTCTCACGGACCTCAACTGTAAGGTGGGAAGCATGATGACAGAAGGATCCAACGGTGTCAATGCAGATAGCGACTGACGAGGTCTTAAGTGAGACCAGCGTCAGGGCTGCTCCGGCTGAGGACCCCAGCCTCACAGGGCACCTCTGCGAGTGCCTGCAGGCTCACACTGAGGTCCTTGTGTGGGAGAGAGAAGGATCCTCTCCTATTGAAGGAATTACGCTCACCACTATGAGTGTGCGTCACAAGCCAGCTCTGCTCCTGCTAGGCAACAGCTGACTCATCTCAACAACTGGAGGGAATGCAACCAGCAGCCACCCGCCCTCCCCACCTGATCAATCACATTGTCTGAGACCACACCCCCCCCCTTCCTTGTCCGTATCTCCCAGGATCAATATCATACAGTGATTAAAGTTACCATATAGTTTTGCCTCCTCCACCAATTTTTGGCTCCTCTGCCGCAAGTTCTCAGTATCTGCTAGAGCTCGCTTATATTTTTCCTTTAAAAAAAAAGAAAAAAAAGGAAGAAAAATTCACATGAAATATATCTGGAACAAATTCATAGGTAAACACATCTGATATAACAAACTGCAAGTCAAAATACAAACAGCAGCGATCAGTACTTTGGAGACTGGATTACAAACAGCTGCTGCATAATAAACAGAAGTAAATTAACCAGTGCCACTATTCCCACCACGTGGGGAATAAGATGGCGAGGCATCACATATTCATAACCCCCCACGGTCATTCTCACTGTGTACAGCTGGGGAAAGCACAAGAAAAGCTGCTAGTTTCTCCTGCTTCTGATGGTTCCTCTCAAGGAAGGACCATTCATTCCTCTGCAGAATTTCCAGCTCAAGGGAAGCCTAGAACCCAGGGTATGGGCTGACCTGGCTTGGATCTCATACCGAGGAGAGGGTCAGGAGAACAACCCTGAGCAGACAGCTTTGGCCTCTACCCCACAGAAGAGGAAAAACCTCAGGAATGAACCTGTGGTATTTGTAACACTGCCCCACTACAGTTCAGTTGGAACACTTATTGTGTAATAATCATCAGAATTCTGGTATCTTCCTCATTTTGCACCAACTCTTCCTGTAATTGTATCCATCTCCTGGCATTTCTCTTTTTCTTCTGGGCACTAGGTTACTGCCTTCAGCTTTCTGGGGGCTCCAGTGCTGCGGTTAAGAGCAAGGTCTCAGAGGCTCAGACAGTGGGCCTGCCCCTGGGCAGCAAGGTGACCTTGGGAAGTTTTACCAAACAGTCCTGGGCCTCAGTTTCCTCATCTGTAAACAGGGGTATTAACGGCTGACTCACAGGGCTGCTGTGAGGATTCACACAAACAAAGGGGTTAGCAAAGCCCTAGCACAGTGCTTCACGGCAAATAGATGGGGATATGATGGAAACAGTGACAGACTATTTTCTTGTGCTCCAAAATGGACGGTGCTCCACTGTGGATGGTGACTGCAGCCATGAAGTTGAAAGATGCTTGCTCCTTGGAAATAAAGCTACAACAAATCTAAACAGCTTATTGAAAAGCAGAGACACTACTTTGCTAACAAAGGTCCGTCTATTCAAAGCTATGGTTTTTCCAGCAGTCACAGAGATGTGAGAGCTGGACAATAAAAACGGCTGAATGCCAAAGAACTGATACTATCGACCTGCGGTGCTGGAAAACTCTTGAGAGTTCCTTGGACTGCAGAGTGATCAAAGCAGTCCATCCTAAAGGAAATCAAACCTGAATATTCATTGGAAGGACTGATGCTGAAGCTCCAATACTTTGACCACCTGATGCGAAGAACTGACTCACTGGAAAAGACCCTGATGCTGGAAGGATTGAAGGCAGGAGGTGGTGGTGAAGACAGAGGAAGAGATGGCCGGATGGCATCACCGACTTGGGGGACATGAATTTGGGCAGACTCCAGGAGATGGTAAGGGACAAGGAGGCCTGGAGTGCTGCAGTCCATGGGGTCGCAAGGAGCCGGACATGACTGAGCAACTGAACAACGCTTTTCCACACGAGGTCATAATCTGTATTACTAATTAGTTCATAAAACTCCAACATCCCGAGGAGAGCATCATGTGACTTTACCTTTGGCTCCCACTTTCGTCCCCCCAAAGACCCAGCCTTAAGGGCCCTACTGAATATTCATCACTTGTAAAGACCACTTTCAGTCTTAATTCAATATAATCTATGTAGCACATGAAGATAAGTCTCACGACAACCAGAGTCACAGCGGATTTGAGTTCTAGCCCTTCTTCAGCAGTAACTTGCTGTAGAACCCGACGGGACGGAATTCGTCTGGCTTCCACCTCTGTTGTTAAGTAGGCCATCTTGACATCCCCAGAAGATGGACCTGGATTTCCACAGACCACATTCCTCACGAGAGCCCACAGCCTTACCATGGTCTCCTTCAGCTGCTCTTCCAGCTTGACCTTCTCTTCTATGAGCGTCTTCTCCGTGGAGGGAAGATCTGTCTTCTGTTCATTCTGACCTGCGTCCTCTTCCAGGTTCTGGCCATTGTTTTTCTGCTTTGCAGCTGTGCACAGCAGCCGAGGAGAAGACCTGAAGGCAAGTCCACATGACAGAAATTAAGATCATGATTTTTCTGCTTGTTAAAGTCAGATGGACGACTTTGGAAATCAAAGGTAATTTAAAACTACTTGCTACACGGGGGAGAAAGGATTTGTCTTAGATACAATAAAGGCAAACTGCATATGATGTATGGAAGCTATCTGCTTATGTAAGTCTTCTGCAATACACGCCTAAACTAAAACGTCAGTGCACCAAGGCTACAGTACTAATCTCCCCTTCTCCTCACTCTCAGAACTCCTGATCATGCAGACCCCACCACATGCTGAAGAAAGAGCTACTACTGGAGGTGAGGTCCAGTGCTGCTGTCCATTACAAAGCCTCGTGAGCAGACATCTTGCCCACAGGGTACTTATGGTCATGCAAAAAGGTATCTATATACATAGAACTGTAACTTGGGTTTGAAAGTGATAAAAGAGGAACCAAGTGCTTTGGGAGGCTCAGAGTAAATATTTCTAGCTTTCGAGAAATGGAAGTCTGGGAAAGGATTTGGGCAGAGGGACTCTGAAGAACAGGCAAGAGTTCACATACAAAGCCACAAGGAGACAAGACAGACCCACTTCAGGAAGGGTGTAACAAAGGTGTGGAGGCAGGAAAGCATGGGGTGGTATGTACAGGGGAAAACACAAAAAGCTCTAGAACTAATGCTGGAAGTGACTTGGGATATTACCCAATCTGATTCCCATGTGGAAAAGGTTAAGTAATAAGCTCAAGGCCACAGCGCCATTAATGAATAATACGGATCTGTTCAACAGGTCCAGTGGCGCTCTAAAGTATGCCACAGACCAATCTGAAAATAAATCACATTCATTTCCGTCCCAGATTAAAGAAAGCTGCCTCAATGAACAGGAAAGCTAAGGGCACACAGAATATGTGTACAAGGGTGTTTAAGGCAGCAGGTACAGATGTTTTCCAGGATGAAAAGCTGGAAACAGAAGACTGCTCAGAAGGACACGGCTGAACAAACTGTTGCTTCCGTGGTCTGGAACACTGAGCAGCCACCAGACAGAGGGCAGTGTTAACCTGCCATCTTTTGGCTGCACCATGGGGCTACTGTGCAGGAAGACACGCAACTTAGAGAGATACACAAAACACGACTCCAGTTTTGTAAACACAAACCAGAAGTCCTATTTTGAGGAGAATAAAAGGATACACTAGTCTGTCATCAATACTTATGTGAAGAGTTGACTCACTGGAAAAGACCCCGATGTTGGGAAGGATGGAGGGCAGGAGGAGAAGGGGAGGACAGACGAAAAGAAGGCTGGATGGCATCACCAACTCAATGGACGTGAGTGTGAGCAAACTCTGGGAGTCAGTGAAGGCAAGGAAGCCTGGCAGGCTCCAGTGCACGCAGTGGCAAAGAGCTGGACACAACTGAGCTGAACAACATGGGGGTGAAGACCAATAAGCTTTATACTGCTATTTTTACTTCTGGGGTTAAAAAACTAATCATCTAAAAACGGAGTGTGCTGCTGTGACCTGCCTTAGCTTCTAGCCGCCCTGGCCTCTGGGTGTAACAGTCACGGCCTTCTGGGTCCACTCCACTCAGCAGACCTCCCCCTGCAGCAGCCCGTCTGGGTTTGCAGGGAGGCTCCCAGAACTCAGTCACTCCCAGAGCTCTGCACACAGTTCAATTTACTCTCTCCCCTACTTGAGCCTCCTTACACAAAAGGCAGAAATGCACGCACTCCTGGCAATCAACTGGATTTCCCAGGTGGCGCTGGTGATAAATAACCCAGTTGCCAATTCAGGAGACATAAGAGAAGCCGGTTCAATCCCTGGATCAGGAAGATCCCCTGAAGGAGGGCATAGCAACCCACTCCAGTATTCCTGTCTGGAAAATCCCCATGGACAAAGGAGCTTGACTGGCTACAATCCAAATGACCGCAAAGCGTCGGACCCGACTGAAGGGACTGAGCCCGCACACACGTCCAGACAATCAATGCCAGTTACAAGAATCGCAAATTGAGCCAACAGCCTCTCCTCACTCATGACTCCCCAGGTAGGTTTGTTTCCACGCTGTCTACACAATGGATCAGGCTAGAATCGTAGCTTCAACCCCGCGCCCTGTCCTCGTCTCCGTTTACTGACCCGTTTACAGTCTCACCATCACTAAATAAAGCTCCTTGAGGGCAAAGTCCAGGTCCTGCTCCGCGCAGCTTCTACCCCGTGTTCGGCCCAGAGCAGCTTCTCTTAACAGATAGCCTGGTTCTCCAAAGCTACCCCCAACGTGGAAGGTGCTAATTCAGATCAGTCGCTCAGTCATGTCCTACTCTTTAAGACCCCATGGACTGCAGCAAGCCAGGCCTCCCTGTCCATCTCCAACTCCAGGAGTTTACTCAAGCTCATGTCCACTGAGTCGGTGATGCCATCCAACCATCTCATCCTTTGACCTCCCCTTCTCCCGCCTTCAATCTTTCCCAGCATCAGGGTCTTTTCCAATGAGTCAGTTCTTCGCATCAGGTGGCCAAAGTATTAGGAGTTTCAGCTTCAGGATGAGTCCGCTACGCACGGGCTAAACTAAGTTAGGAGACCGGACTTTGAAACGGCAGAAACCGCAGGTTTAAAAAAAAAAAAAAAAAGGCAAAAGAAAAGCCAAGGAGAGGGCAGGGCCTCGTGACCTCTGCCGCAGCGTCACTGCTCTAAATCAGCGGCTCTCCCCACGGCGGGTTAGGTAGGGGCTGCGGCCCTTCTGTGCTCCGACTCCGCAGCACGCGGAGGTGGAGGAGGCTCGGGCCGGGCGGAATGAGGCCGCTCGCCACCGCCGCCTCGCGCGGGGCGCCGTCCCGTCCGCCCCGCGGGCAGCACCGACAGAGGGGTGGCCGGGCAGGCCCCCCCGGAGGGCCCACCGGAGCCCGCGCCCCGCGTCTGGAAGCCCAGCCACGACGCCCGGGCCGGATCCGGGCAAGGTTCGCGTCCGAGCCAGCGGGGGCACCGCGCCCCTCCTAAGCCTGGCAATCGGCGCCCCTTACCTGAGAGACAACACGAAAGCCGGGAGGCTGCGCCGCGCCAGCCGCACGCACCGAGCCGCCATGACTGCTGCCGGCACTGCGCGCGCGCACCAGGCATGCGCGAGGCCCTTTTCGTGCTTATCCCGCCCAATTGCTTCCCCTCAGCCAATGCCCCACCGTTCTTCCTTTGATGGACAGGCCGTGTTCACCAATAATTGCCGGTCTGGGCGATGGGCGGGGTTTGAGGCCTTGAGAGGTCCCAGAAAGTAAAGCTGAGGTGAAAGGTGAAGGAAACAGACTCCTCCGTGGAGGGGCGTGGTCAAGGAAAGAACCAATAGAGAGAGAGCATGGGGGAGGGCGCCGGAAGTGCGGACTGAGCGGGCGAGGAGACTCTCGAGCGCGGTTTCCACTTAGGCTTCCCCGTTCTGTACGTGTGCCTCGTGTTTCGGGGCGCTTCTTGCTCTGGGAGGTGGCGAGGCGCCAGGGCTTTTGTCCTTTGCTCCCTCACAGCCCGAGCTCCTGGAACCGAGCCAGACTCTGGGTGCTCAGTGTAGGCTAAAGGCAAATAGGTCAAGGACGAAAACTCGTGTACGGGCGACCGCAGGGCTCCAGGAAAGTCGGTTAAAACAGCGTTAGGCGGTCATCGCCCGTCCTGCCGGCGACTTCGCGGCGCAAGAGGGTGGACTGGTGGCCGGAGGGGCCCTCCGTCGGTACTGTGGGTTTTATTAACGCCAAAACCGGGAAGCGTGTGTGGCCCAGCGCGGAGGCGTCGGGGCTGGGTGAGGAGACGGGTGATGGTTGCACTGTTCTTCCACCTTCCTTTTTCCAGTGTGTTAGTCGCTCAGTCGTGCCCGACTCTTTTCGACCCCATGGACTGCAGCCCACCAGGCTCCTGTGTCTATGAGATTCTCCAGGCAAGGATACTGGAGTGGGTTCCCATCTCCTTCTCCAAGGGATCTTCCCTACCCAGGGATCAAACCGGGGTCTCCGGCACGGCAGGCAGATTCTTTACCCACTGAGCTACAAGGAAAGCCCAGTTTTCTCCGAGTAAGACACAAAGCCTACCAAAACAGCATCGAGGACAGCTTCTGGGGACACAACCAAAGCTCATAAAATCCAAGTGTTTTCCTTACTCTTAGCAATGACAGTGCTCCTCTTGTCTCGGGCCACGAAGGAGCCCAGGTGCTGTTTGTACTTGTGTCTCGCAGCTGCTGTCCCCTCTGCCAGAGTCGCAGAGCCCGTGGTGTCCCCAACAGAGTGCTGCCTGCGTGTCCCATCTGTGAGGACCAAACCTATGTTCTCCTGCTTTGCTCCCATTAAGAGCATTCATCACGTTGAATGTCAGGCCCTGCGCCACTCGCAGAAGGAGGCAAAAAGTCAGATCCAGAATGTAAGACGTTCTGTTGGGCAAGTGACCCAGTTTATTAGTTAGTGGTCTAGAGGAAAAAAGGAAGTAAGAATTAGAGCGCATAAAAGATGGAATGTGTGGACCTTATTTGAATCATGATTGAACAAACCAACTATGAAAAGAGACATCTGTAAGATAAAGGGGAAAGTCAAAATATAAACTGCTAGATGACAGGAGTTACTGATATTTTTGTTAAAGTGAGGTAGCCTAGAGTTCAGATAAAAATACTGTAATTGTTCGGAGATGCCAATGGGAGTATTTAAATTGCCACAGAATTTGGAATTTGCTTTATGATTATGCAGGCTGGAAAAAAAAATGAGGATGGAAGAAACACAAGAGGCAAAATGTTGATAATGGTAGCAGGATGATAAATAGTGTGGGAGTTAGGATCATTTTCTTCTCTGTGTGAACTTTTCTATAGTAAAATTAAATACACGTCATGGGGAAGGGATAAATGAAGAGCTTGGAAGTAACATACACTGCCGTATGTAAAATAGAGAACCAGCAAGGACCTACCGTATAGCACAGGGTCTCTACTCAATATTCCGTTACCACCTATATGGGAGAGCAATCTGAAAAAGAATGAATATATGTGTATATTTAACTGAATCACTTTGCTGTTTACCTGAAACTAACACAGCATTGTAAATCTGTACACTCTGCTGATTCACTTTGTGAACTAACAGCATTATGAAGCAATTATACTCCAACAGAAAACAAAAAGCTATACGCTAATAAAATTTAAAACATGTTTCTCATTGGCTGTGACCTTGGGCAGCATCATCTAATTGCTCTCAGCATTGATCCGCTCACCCATAAAACTCGGACTATATCATTTATTTTGAGGAATAAAAGAGGTGCAAATCCTCATTTCCTATCTCTTCTTAGGACTCAAGGGAATCAAATAGGAAGCCTGCTGTAAAGAGCTCACAATACAGCATGGGGACTATCAACAGTGATGGCTTCTGTGTCTTGAAACAGACAATGGATGGCTGTGGCCGTCGTGATGTTTCTGCTGTCACTGAACACTGGTCCAGGACAGCCAAGAGGCCATGCCCTAGATCTACATCCAGAACGGTCAACTTTCCTGAGTGGAGGCCTGTCTGTGCTGCCACTTTGTGGCCATATTGGGAACGGCATCCTTGACAGCCTGCTGAGGTCTGGAAGTTCACCCCAGTGCAAGTCATCAGCACGTGGACGTGAAGCTGCCAGCATGGGAAGACTCCTGCGTCAGCCCTTGGAACTCATTTCCAGCAAATCAAGTGGGTGGCCCATGCAGGGGGTGCAGGAAGAGCAAGCTGAACAGCCCACGGTGCCCTCAACAAGGATGGAAAGGAGTGAAAGTCGCTCAGTCGTGTCCGACTCTTTGCGACCCCATGGACTATACAGTCCTTGGAATTCTCCAGGCCAGAATACTGGAGTGGGTAGACTTTCCCTTCACAGGGGATCTTCCCAACCTAGGGGTGAAGCCCAGGTCTCTCGCATTGCAGGCAGATTCTTTACTAGCTGAGCCACAAGGGAAGCCCAAGAATACTGGAGTGGGTAGCCTTTCCCTTTTCCAGTGGAGCTTCCTGACCCAGGAATCGAACCAGAGTCTCCTGCATTGCAGGCAGATTCTTTACCAACTGAGCTATCAGGGAAGCGCAACAAGGATGGAGTCACGTGTGAAAAAATGTCCTCAGGAGAAGGTCATGCGGAAGACACGACAGCATGTGGGCCATGGGTGTGGTGTTTGTGACAGCTGAGCGCCTGCAAGTGCCAGGCTTTGTGCAGGTGTCTCCTCCTGGACCAGCCCACCCTGCAGTGATGCGGGGCTGGGAGATGGGCCAGATTCATCACACACTTGGAAAAAGGCAGAACTTTTGCCTGTTTTTCCCAACCAATCCCAGCCCACATAACCATCACAGTTGAAGCCAGAACTGTCATCAGAGTGTTGGCTGCTGCCACAAGCTGCGTTATCCTCTTTATTATTACTATCCCTCAGCAGGGGCATGGATTTTCATCTTTTATCCAACTCCGAAATAAACAAAAAAATATATGGGTATGATGGGTACAGCGGACAGAATTCTAAAAACGGACTAAAGCTACCCGCCCCTGGTTTTTCAATCAAACGCTAGGTGCTGCTGTGAAAGGACTTTGTAGATGTAGCTGGAGTCCTAAGCCAGTGACCTTTTGTAGAGAGTATCTGGTGGGCTCAATCTTGGTGAGCTGTTTAAAAGCAGAAAGTTTCCTCCTTCAGGCAAAGTCAGAATGCTTCACGGCATGAGAAGGACTCAGATCTCTGCAGCTGGTGTGAAGCTGGGGGGTCCACTGAGAAGGTGGCCTCAGAGCAGACAGCAGCCCCCATCTGGCCACCAGCAAGGACACGAGGCCCTCAGATCTGCTGTCTCAAGGAGCTGGACTCCATGGACCATCTGAGCAGGCCCCCCAGACCAGAGCCCAGCCCAGCCCTGTGTGATGCGGCACAATGGAAACCCCACCTGGCTCACTAAGCCATGTCTCCATCCTAGGAGGTGGGCATTATGTCCACCCTCTCCACTTTATCTGGGCTCCCAGTACTCAGAATGGATTAACCATACACCTTGTTCCAATTCCTATTGGGGTGTCTCATTCTTGGCCCACTTTTGTTCACTTGTTTCAGTGCTACAGGAGAGCCCCCCCCCCGCCACCACCAAAGAAAAAACCCTGCAGCTGGGGGAGACGGGGGCCCTGGTTAAGAGATTTTCCTGTCAGAGGGGTCTGACAACCAGCAGCAAGTTGCACTGCCATTCCTCTGGAGCACACGGGCTCCAAACTGAAGTGTATGTTCTTGGTGAGAAAATGCCACCGGAAGGGGCCACAGATGTTCAGGCTGAAATAACCTTCTGCAAAAAGAGCCAGATCAGTTGCATGAGGAACGAAGAAACACGTGAACTGACAGTCAAGAGCATCTGAGGGCCGGCGGCAGCCCCCCGGAACCAGTGGTCTCCAGGTGTGGCTTGGGTGCAGGGTGGGCACCGTCGCCTCCTCCTGCAGAGACACCTGAAGGACAGGAAAGGAGGGGGTGGTGGCAAACTCCTGAGCCCCGAGAGAAGTGTCTTACAAAGCCCGTGGACATGGGAGAGGATTTGAATCTGAGGCTGATTAAATTGTTCATCACTGAACTGCACTGCAATTGGAATACTCCTGGGCATCAACAGAATCAGCCGTTAGTGAGAAGAAAAGTGAGAGCTGTGTGAAGCATGATGGTTAGCAGGAGGGACAGCTTCTCATTATGAAAATAGTGGGTGCTCTTTATGGAACCATTAGAAAATGTAAATGGTAGGATGTTGTTGTTATTGAGTCGCTAAGTTGTGTCCAGCTCTGCAACCCCATGGGCTATACACGCCAGGGTCCTCTGTCCTTCACCATCTCCTGCAGTTTGCTCAAACTCATGTCCGTTGAGTCAGTGCTGCCACCCAACCATCTCATCCTCTGTCATCCCCTTCTCCCCCACCTTCAATCTTTCCCAGCATCAGGGTCTTGTCCAATGAGTCAGGTCTTTGCATCAGGTGGCCAAAGTATTGGAGCTTCAGCATCAGTCCTTCCAATGAATATTCAGGATTTTACGATTGACTTGTTTGATCACCTTGCAGTCCAAGGGACTCTCAAGAGTCTTCTACAATACCACAGTTTGAAAGCATCAACTCTTCAGCGCTCAGTCTTCTTTATGGTCCAGACTCTCACATC